TATTAGTGAATATGGCCTCTTTTAATATTTCACTTTTAAATGTACATAAATAAATCTACGCCGATAGTAGAACAAAAAATTGACAAGCTCGCAATCAGCGCATTTTGGACAGTGCCATGTATGTTTATTCCTTTTTAAAACTTAGTGGCGTGCTTTTTTTACATAGAAAGTACATCAGACCATAAAAATTACGCCAAAAGGACCCTGCACCCAGGCTACAAGCCTTTAAAAAAATTAGAATTATATTAAGTAGTTAATAACTTATAAAAATTTTGTAGATTTTAATGTCTGACTGAAATTTAAAATAAACGTTCACAAACTAAATTTTTCTGAAGCAACAAAAATTAAATTAAGAGTGGGGGTATATTTATTGACGCGAAACGGACTGCTATGCTCGTCTTAATTTGTCGCACCATTTATAGGATCACCCTGTACCTATGTTGCTGATGAAAATACCAGATACGTAGGACGCAAAGAACTTCGAGTTTTACAAAATCGTCATATTTCCAAGACCCTTGTCGCAAACTCTCTTCACGGTAGATATGCTGTCAACATTCATCCCCGATTAGAGTTCCTGTGGTAATCCTCCCACACACACAGAGAGGATTGAGATCAAGATTGCGATCGTCGTCAGAGACTTGTCCTTTTTGATGCCATGTACTTATGGATACAGGGTGTTCCGGTTATAACTATGCAAGTTAATGATACATATTTTTACTTTTATAGATTCGTCTAAATTATTATTATTTGCAGGCGACTTAAAAAATATTTACCGTAGACAGTATTTCAGGTTATCAACTTTTATAACGTCATCTAACGTCTTTAAGTCAATTATTCTTATACATCTTTTGATCGTGAAAATACGATTTTACATATTAATAATACTTGCAAGTTTGTTATTAGAGACATGGGAATTACATTTGATCATAGATTAACATTTTTAGTTCATATTAATAACGCTGTACTAACTACTAAAATGTTGGAGTTTATAATCAAGAACTGCTGAGGATTTACCTTTGTTAAATCAATAAGTGCTATATATTATATTACTCTTGGAAGAAGCAAACTATAATATTGTAGTGCACGTACCTACCCATAAATATTTTGGAAAGTGCCCAGAAAAAGATTCAAAAGTTCCTTGAAAACACATATGGTATTTATCCTCCAAAAAATTATAATAACAATTTACCTCTTCAAAAATAGCACAGGACCACAAAAAATGAGTGAAGGGTTCCTTGAACCAGACCAAGTAGATTACATGTTTTTTGGATCACTGAAACCGAATCCGAAACCTGTTTTGCCCCATCACGTCTGCGTTTTTTTTCTAACCTCAAGAAACAGCTTGAAACTATGAAACCCAACAATATCAACCTTTAAATCATATAACCCTATACTTTCATAACTCAATAACCTTGAGATCCATAACCTATAACTCTAAAATCCATAACCTGAAAATCTATGACCTCAAAACTCATAAATCTCAAATCCCAATAAACTGCAAACACAAAATGAGCAAAAAAAACAAAAAAAAATTACAGGCAAAACTGAAACCTCAATATCGGAGAGTTGTAACTTTATAATTCTATACATCCATTTCATACCATAAACCCCATAACTCTAACAGCCTATATCGTCCATATATACGACCACATCGTTGTTCCTGGGTATCGCTAAATGTAGGTTATTACAATGCAGAAAATCTTGACTTTATTAAGTATTCGAATTATAGTTTTCCAGACCCAAACTTTATGAGAAATAACATTAAATATCTGGTTTAATCTTTCTACAGAACAAGAATTATGTCTCGAATATAAATTTTTATTGTAGCTTTCTGAGATTAAGTTTTTGAAGGTTCACTTGAAAATATTTTTGTCACGGTTATGGAACTATAAAGTTATGAAATTTCTGGGTTATAGCATTGCAGAGTTTTGGGGTATAGGATTATGGACTTTTGGAATTATGGAGTTTTCAGGTATTAGGTTATACGGAGTTATGGGGATGTGGAGTTTGATATTAAATTGTACATAATTCGGAGTTATATTGTGACATGCAATTTTCTTATGTTACACTTCAGGGTTATGGAGTTTATGGATTATGAGGTTATGAAGTGATGGAGGTGTAGAATTACGAAGTTAAAACTCTCCGAGAGTAAGGTTTGAGCTTAGCTTCTAAGTTTTTTGTTTTTATTTTTGATCATTTTGTGTTTGCAGTTTATTGGGATTTGAGATTTATGAGTTTTGACGTTATAGATTTTCAGGTTATGGATTTATCGATCTCAAGTTATGAAAGTATAGGGTTATATGGTTTAAGAGTTGATATTGTTGGGTTTCACAGTTTTAAGCTGTTTTTTGAGGTTAGAAAAAAACGCTGACGTGATGAGGCAAAACAAGTTTCGGAGTCGGTTTCAGCGACCCAGAAAACATATAGTTCCACTTGGTTTAGTTCAATGAACCCTCCACTATTTTTTTTATGGTCCTATGTAATTTACCGAATTTCTGTAAGGAAAAGGTGGGAACTAGAAGAAGAAATATTTTAAAATAGTAATTTAGTAAAATAGTAACAGTAGAAGTAGTAATATTTTTAAGTTTCAAACTCTAATAATAATCATTTTCACTAACCAAATTATATTTATTTTAAACAAATTTTTTACAAGTATTTAGAAAAAAATACTACTTTGTATTAGTGCATACATTTACATTTTCTTTTCAATGCCATATATTAGTGTAATAGCAACATAGTATAATTTAAAAAATGTCGTGAAAAATATCATTATGTCAGCAGAAAGCTAAATACATACACTAATTGATACTTTCCTTGATTGGTTTATGCAACCATGACCATGCGATATTTTTTTGAAATTAATAACCACATAAATATTGCTTACTTATTACCAAGAGTAAGTATGTAAAACTTTGAAAGTCAGTTAATCCAGCCGTAGTCGAGTTTTATGTATAAAATAATTAAAGTTAAAATAGCTTTAAAACTATTCATTAAAAAAAGTATAAGAATTTTTGTTCGAAATTCATTTTTAATTACAACCATTAAAGTCCTAAAATATATTTAGCCGTAGACATTTTCATATCATCATATAAATATTACCAGGAAGAACACATCAATGAAGTACTGTAAATATTAAATAATTCAGAAATATTGGAGATGAGTACTTAAGGTCTTTAATATTTAACAATTTTTTCATGCTTCACTTTGCATTTGCATGTGTATAAAATATACAACATTCCATANACAGTATTATGGTTGATGCCTTTTAATAACATCATTCCCAATATTATCCCTACTTTTATAGTGGAGTAAAGGTAGCTTAAAAATATGCATTATTTCGGAATAATTAGCAGAGCCTTGGATTTTCATAAAACCTTTTGCAATCACCTTGAAATGGCTTACAGAAAAAAGTTCTAAACTTATATTTGTACGCTAATTATTATTTAATTGTTTATTGTTTAAACAATAAAAAATGTTTTTTCAAAGATTATTTTAAATAAATCAAAAAATTTCGAACAAATTTTAATCAAATTGATAATGTAGGGGTTTTCTAGGTCACTGAATAAGAATATAATGTTAAAAAATAAAAATTCTAAATGGCTGATCCAATATGGCCGACTTTTTTAAGCAATTGATTAAAAAATGACTATTTTTTCAAAGCAATTTTAATCAAATTGATATTATAGGGGTTTTCGAAGTCGCAGAACAGGAATATTATATCGGAAAATAAAAATTCAAAACAGCTGATCCAATATGGCCGACTTTAAAAAAAAATTATTTAAAAATTACAAATTTCAAAGTAAATTTAACTAAATTTACTTTGAAATTTGTAATTGACATTATAGGGGTTTTTGAGGTCTCTGAACAGGAATATTATATCAGAAAATGAAAATTCAAAATGGCTAATCCAATATGACCGACTTTTTTAAACAATTTATTTAAAAATTACATTTTTAAATCTATTTTACCCATATTGATATTTTTAGGATTTTTCAGATCATTGAACAAATAAAAAATTAAATCAACTCGTTAAATTTTGAAGAAATTTGGGTATGATATTTATAGTACGATCGTAAACGATGCAAAGTAGAGCAAAAAATTGTCGGTCTTTTATCAAAGGAAAATCGTATCATCATTTTTAGGAGGCGTAAGATGAACAGTTTCAAATTTAAAATGAAATTTAATGTTAAATCTGAAATACCGTTGTATACGCACTGTGTTCTGGTACTAGCTGTAGTCGGCCAGGTGCATCGAGTGTACGAAGTGGTCGGTTATACGTCAAATACTAACCTGGCGAGCTTGATCGTAGAGCAGGGAACAATNGAAATTCATTTTTAAATACAACCATTAAAGTCCTAAAATATATTTAGCCGTAGACATTTTCATATCATCATATAAATATTACCAGGAAGAACACATCAATGAAGTACTGTAAATATTAAATAATTCAGAAATATTGGAGATGAGTACTTAAGGTCTTTAATATTTAACAATTTTTTCATGCTTCACTTTGCATTTGCATGTGTATAAAATATACAACATTCCATATGTATTTCAGAAAGCATTAATACTTCAGATTACTCAATTGCATTTGTTTGGCTCCATAGCATAAAGCGTCATTTATATTTCAGAATAGTCAGTTATAATTCAGAACACGTAAGTTATAGTTCAGAATATGTTATTTGTACTTCAAAAAGTGTCAAATGTATTTCAATGTTTTTGTGTTAATTTTGATCAAAAAACAAACACCTTGCAGAAGTTTAGCAGTAAGTTAAAAGACATTCTGTATGCTCAGCATAATTAAACCTTAAATTCTGACAGATCAGAAAACATCAAACCAATTTCTAACTCTTCTAAACAGTTGTTGTAATGCGCAGTACCACCAACACACATTTATTAAACTTAAAAAAATTCTTTAAAAAAGTCCAAATTTTACCCGCTTTCTTCTTTCCAGCTGACATACTCGTGACGATTGCGCGTGGGCTAGCGAGTAGCCGAAGATGCGCGCCGGGGAAGAGTACTCGGAGTTGGCGGAGCTGGGGGGCGGGCCGTACGGCCGCACCTGGGGTCGCACCCCGGGGGGCAGCAGGGGCCGGATGCCCGCCGCGGCGGCCGAGGCGGAAGACGTGCTGGGGCCCAACAGTAGCCCCAGGAGCCACTCGAGGAGTCGCTCGGGACTCTATTACTCGCCCCCGGGTACTTCGTACACCATCGTGGAGAGGCCCTCCTCCGTCATGCACCACCACTCCCCCAGAGAGTACGCCAACACCACTTCGCACTATAATTCGTTGAGCAGTCCAAGAGGTAAGATTTCATTTTTTTTCTTTTCGGTAATCACTAATCAGGTTAACTATTTGGTTATATGTATGGGTATTCACAATATTGTGTACCCACCTTTATTTTTAAGGGCTTTAATCTACAACAAAAAAAACACACAGAATATGATCTCAAAGAAATGTATTAATAAATTAAAGGTTGCATATGGGAGGCATAAATCAAACGTGTTCTGTATATGGAATATCCTGTATATTTGCTGTTTCCTGAAATTATCTCCTTTTTCTGATTATAAAACGCTATGAACAGTATTATGGTTGATGCCTTTTAATAACATCATTCCCAATATCATCCCTAATTTTATAGTGGAGTAAAGGTAGCTTAAAAATATGCATTATTTAAGAATAATTAGCAGAGCCTTGGATTTTCATAAAACCTTTTGCAATCGCCTTGAAATGACTTATAGAAAAAAGTTATAAACTTATGTTTGTACTCTAATTATTATTTAATTGTTTAAACAATAAGAAATGGTTTTTCAAAGATTATTTTAAATAAATCAAATCAAATTTCAAACAAATTTTAATCAAATTGATAATGTAGGGGTTTTCTAGGTCACTGAATAAGAATATAATGTTAAAAAATAAAAATTCAAAATGGCTGATTCAATATGGCCGACTTTTTTTAAACGATTTATTAAAATATGACAATTTTTTCAAAGCAATTTTAACCAAATTGATATTATAAGGGTTTTCGAAGTCGCTGAACAGGAATATTATATCAGAAAATAAAAATTCTAAACAGCTGATCCAATATGGCCGACTTTAAAAAAAAATATTTAAAAATTACAAATTTCAAAGTAAATTTAGTTAAATTGACATTATAGGGGATTTTGAGGTCTCTGAACAGGAATATTATATCAGAAAATGAAAATTCAAAATAGCTAATCCAATATGACCGACTTTTTTAGACAATTTAATTAAAAAATACATTTTTAAAGCTATTTTACTCATATTGATATTTTTAGGATTTCTCAGATGATTGAACAAATAAAAAATGAAATCAACTCGTTAAATTTTGAAGAAATTTGGGTATGATGTTTAGTGTTCTGCAAAAAGTTAATATATGAAATTCTTAATTAACAAATTTATTAAATATGAAAAAGTATTTGCATAGTAAAGAAAGAAGTATAAAAAAATAACAATATTCAATTTTCATTCTCTTGAATCATTGTAAGTTCTCGACTTTGTTTCGATCTCCAAACATATCCTCAACTAAAAGAATACTTACTGACCTTAATATGTACTCAATATATTTTCATTAATGTCTTTGACCTAAAATAATCCAAGACAAAAACTTTTGAAACTATGTACGAAATTTGTAATTTCAAATGCAAGGATTTATACGAGAGAAGGAGTAGGCTATTATTATTATTATGTACACTGGTTAGGACACTTTAGAACCAAAAATTTAATTAAATTGTAAATTGCTGAACCGTTACTTCTTAGCTGCAGTAAGTAATTTACTTCTAGTATATCCTCAACAATGTCTTGTGAAAACCGATGTATGTGGGTGAAATCGACGCTTTAGAACATGTAATCCATATTGAAGCTGTGGGAAAGCTTATACACACAAACAACTGGCAGACTCCACAGAATATACATAATCCAAAACAAACTCATCTCTGGGTTTATTTATCTATCTAGTGAATCTACAGCTGTTAGAATGCCTCTTTATGTATTGTGTCTGTTGTTGCCAAATGTTGTTAAAGCATTATCTTCTAATTAAATCACCATGACCTACATATGCATGTTTTACTAATCGGACCCATATGAAGGTAAACAGTGGAATATGACAAACTTCACTTCAATGCAAAATTCGTACATGCATAACGATATTTTTCACAGTTAATCATACATACCTGTATTTTATTATCCACTTACTGTACGTACCTATTGTAAATAGAATTTGAAAACCCAAGAAAACAATTTAAGGTTTTTTGGATTGATATGCCTTGGCCTATGTACTTACCTGATCAGTGATCACCATCAGACTTACATTGCACTTCAGTAGGGTTGCTAGGAATATTTGACATGCTCTTGTTGCTCTCGGGCTAGACTCTGTGGGGGCGGACTTGCTGTCAGTTGGCCTATTATGATTATAGTCTAGCTAATGTTCATTTATATGCAGACGGCTTCATCATATACATTGTACTCCCAAAAAGATATGTCAAAAATGAATGAGTGGTGTTAAGATAATAAACTGTCATTGAACATCTCAAAATGTTGTATTATGATATACATAAGGAGAATTAAGGCTATTGTTTGTATATCATAGGTACACAAATTGTTTCGATACACCGAGTTTAATAATTTAGATGTAATTTTTTATACTGAATTAATTTTTATATTTCATATCAATTACACGATACTAATAAAAGGCTTCATTCTATTATAAAAACTGAATTTTTATACAGTGTTTTCCATTTCGAATGAATACAGAGCTATAACCTCCTTCACAAGGGAGATAGGGAAAAACTGTTTTTACTGTTGTTTAAAGGTCATGTTGGTGCACTTTCTGGTACCACAATGTGTCTCCTCGATCAAGCTATGACGTCACAAAAGTGAAAAACGAAATGGCCCATAAGAATAAAGTAATGTCAGCGATGACCATGGGGTAATAATTTCTTAATAAAATTATGAATATTGAAAGTTTTTACAAGATATGTAAAACTAGTAGACTAGTCGGTTTATTTTCCAAATGGCGGACAATTTTCTGATTAAATGTAAAAGTAAAGTAAGTAAAATATTAAAATTATGGGAAAATGTTTCCCATAAAATATGTTTCAAATCCAAAGTTACTTTTAAATTCAGAATTTCATAACTTTCTATGTATTCATTTCTCAGAAAACTCCGTGTCTATGTCCCAATGTTGTACCGACACACTTGGAAATAATCTGTCATTGTAGTAATAAAATAATACCTTATAATACCTTTAGTTCATCAAAATAAAAATTTAAATCAACAAAAAATCTAAGATCATGCATATGTTACATCATATTTCATCATTTCCTCCATCCATCTGTACATACATCTATAATTTTTCGATGCAGCTTTTGGTTTCTACTATAGCGTGTGGAATGTGTCCACCTGGTATATCTGCTATGGCTGGTATTATTCATTCTACTAGTTGGTCTCTATTCTCAGGTTGTACACTTTGTTTTTAATAACTCCCCAGACGTAGAAATCTAGCGCAGTTAAGTGGTGATCTTGGTGGCCAGTTAATAGGACCGTTACGACCAATCCATTTTCCAGGAAACTGTACATTTAACCAGTCTCTATTGTGCGGAGATGCTCCGTTTTGTTGGAAATATCGCATTGCTATTGGATGGTCGTGTAAAGCATCCCAAAAGTGAATAGTTGAAAATCGTAGCTCACCATTTATGTTTTCTTCGAAAAAGCAGGGTCTTGCAATCTTTAATCTGGAATTTCAGGGAGGGTACTTTAAAAAGCTACAACACTTAGGCCCCGCTTCCTCCTATTAGGAAATCAATCCACTTGAGCCGTTAACCAACCTATTAAAGAGAAAAATGTGGTGACGTTGCTTAGGAGGATCTCTGATATAGGTCATGGAAGGTCAACGTTCTCCCAACACGGATTCTCTTGTTGACAAGACAGCAGTGCATTCGCAGAGCACATGTAGTACTGCCTCGTTTTCCTGTTCACAACCTTTACAAAGAGGTGTTCCACACTTTCTCATGTTGTGAATCCAGCACACAGATATGCTGTTAGAAACTAAGGCCACAACCAGTGCCTGGTGACATTCCTATACTGACCTAGCCATTATCTTATGATTATGTAGGACCAGTAATGCTTGTCTACTATCTGTGTAGGTTCTGATGGTTTTACCCGTAGTGTGCCTACGGACAATTTCTTTAGCCGCTGTGGTTATACCTGCTAATTCTGTTTGTACCACGGTAACATGCCTATTCATTGCCCACTGATATCGGATATGCAAGGATCTACAATAAATTCCACATCCTGCACCTTCCTTCCTTTTCGATCCGTCTGAAGATGTTAATTACTTCTTTACGGGCGGTCCTATAACTCTATTTTTAATAAGTCCACACCCCATACTGATATTTTGAAAATATTGTTTTTCACAATGGATGATCCATTATGGATTTATATGTATTAATAGACCAATATCTAGTATTTTGCTAAGATACCGCGCCGTTTGTAGTGAATATTGCTTCGTCATTTAAAATAATTTTTTCAAGGAATTTACGATCGTTAAGAAAATTTCCTTCGGCCCTATAACAAAAGTCTAAGCGAATCCCTTCCCAATAAGATATGAAGATGCTAAAGTTAAAATGCCTTTAAATTATGGTACCAGAAAGTGCACAAAAATGTCCTTTAAAGAACAGTTAAAACATTTTTTCTCTATCTCTTTTGTGAAGGAAGTTATGGCTCTGTATTTATTTGAAATGAAAAACACTGTATAAATAAAATAAACAAATAAGTTTCCCACACAAAAATTGCTTGTTTCTGAGTAAAGGGGGAAAACTGAATTGGTTAAAACTTGAACAAAAATATTAAGCACTGTGAGACCTAACTTTAGACGGAAAAATAAGATACCTTATTATGATTAACAATTTCATTCAATTATTGTATGCAACCAGTTCCATATTTTCGCGAACAGGTAGCACAAAACATACATTTTGCTCGATTTTCCAGGCACCTATTTGGGCTCGAATCCAAACTTCAGCACCACCAGAACCCCATCCTCCACGAACAACAAGAAGCGCCCAATATCTCCCGAACAAGTTCTCCGACTCTTTGGCACCAACAACCCCTCCTCCACCGCCAAAACGAACGTGGAGAGACCACGACGTTCACCGGCGAGTAGCCCTCCTTCCACTACCCACCAGGTCAACTATCGTCCTCCATATGTACCCAGCATCCATGAATTGGCTACCAGGACGGTCACGATGGTTAGGGAGCCCCAGGATGGCACTCACGGGTTCGGGATATGCGTGAAGGGAGGTAAAGAAGCAGGTACGTAAAGAAAAAAGTTTAACAATCTGCGATGTTGGAATAAGTATCGAATAAGAATGATCATCAGTAGATGATGAAGTTGAAGTACACAGGGTGTCCGCAAATTTCACCGACAACGTTTGACTGCATATTCACGACGATAAATAAATACGATCTACGAAAAAAAGTTAAATAAAAACCTTTTGGTTTTTGAGTTACAGGCCTTCAAAGTTGTCAAAAATAAAACCAATTTAATTAATAACTTCATAACCCTTTTACCGATCGCGTTAAAATTTGGTATATTTATTTGGACTATTATTGCGTATTATTTCTTAAAGTTTTAGTCAAATCGATATACTGGGTGATAGTTTTCTGCCGCGGTAAATTGTTACAGTGGTCCCGATAACAGAACTTTATTGGCTTATTCTTTTATTGGAATTCTATCTCAACAAATATTGTACGGATTTTATACATTTTATGGTAATTTCCATGTGAAATACTTACATAGGTATACAGGGTGAGTCATTAATACACAGCTTAATGGCAAATTATTGTTAACGTCAAAATATAGTGATTGAGACAAATATCCCTTAATCAATTGTTGCTCCATTTCGTTCTACAGGGTGTTACAGTTGAATATTTTAAGTATATATGGAAAAATTCTTTTGGTTATTTGTGGTTTTACGTTTTTTTGAGGTGGCAAATATACGAATATGCAAACAGTGTTGGGATCATGTGTAGGGGGCGCTAGTTATACTGTCTTATCAATGTAAAAATATGTCTAACTTTTTGTATTTTACAATTTTGATTTTTTTAACTAAAAATTATCGAACTACGTTTAATTCTAAATAAAAAAGGTATACTTGTTATAAATTGATAAACTCGACCGTTTTCGAGATACAGGCATTGTAAGTTTTTGAGATTCGGCGGGAATTAAATCAAAAAATTATTTTTTCCAAAGCAGTAGGCATTGGCATAATAAATTAACAGCACATTATACCTGAGAATTGAGAGATTATCTTAATAGAAATTTCGCGCACCGTTGGATTGGACGGAGTAGCGAAGTACCTTGGCTTGCACATAGCCCTGATTTAAATCCGCTGGATTTTTCTTTTGGGGCTACCTTAAATCTCTAGTCTACAAAGACATTATTTATAGTCAAGAACAACTGCTGACAAATATTCAAAAATTAGTTCATATTGTCAAACAACATAGAACTTTATTTAACACCAGACAAAATTTAAATAAGTGTATTGAAGTCACTGGTGATTGCTTTGAGAATCTTTTGTGATTAATAATTTGTTAAGATATGCATAATAAAATTTTCAGTTGCTGTAATGTTTGTCTTAATTCTTAATTCAGGCTTGGTATTTGAAGACCCGCTAATTTTCTAATTTAATTCACGCCGAATATTAAAACTTAAAACGTCTGTATCTCGAAAACAATTGAGTTTATCGATTTGTAACAAGTATACCTTCTTTATTTAGAATTGAACGTAGTTCAATAATTTTTAGTTAAAACATTCAAAATTGCAAAATACAAAAAGTTAGACATATTTTTACATTTTTAGGACAGTATAACTAGCGCCCCCTAGACGTGACCCCAATTCTGTTTCCATATTCGTATTTACCACATCAAAAAACGTAAAACTGCTAATTTTCAAAATAATCGGTCCATATATAGCTAAAATATAGCAAAAAATCGAAAATATTTTTTCAACTTTAACACCCTGTGGAACGAAAAATAGCAACAATTGACTAAGGCATGTTTGGTTCAATCGCTATATTTTGACGTTAACAATCTACCATTAAGCTATGTACTATTATTAATGACTCACCCTGTATATTTTTTTAATGTAAAGAATGCAGTTATAAGAAGGTAATTGTTGTGTCACTTTTTGTTTGAACCTGGCCTATAGCCAACCCTGTTATAATTAACATATCAACACAGTATTATTTATATAATTATTATTAAAAGGTATACTGTCAATTGGAAATAAGTAATAAATTTCTACAACTGGAACGGTAACGAAATTACAGCTTTTTGTTAAGCAGTTAACAAGTTATAATTGTTTTGATGTCATTTATGGTCCGTTGCTCTAACCTTGTTATTGTGGTTACGTACGTTAACAAGAACAAGAGAGTAATAAATGTTTTTAGTAGTTTGCGGGATAAATTGACACTCAAAGTTTTAGGTCGTGCGTATCAAAACCGTCACTTTATTACATTCACAGTGTTTGAAACCGTTTATTTATGACTTTATTTATCTTGTTGGTTAGTTAACTGTTGAAACAATTTAAAAAAGCAAATATATTAAAATGTCAGAAGGATGAATAGGGTCTCAACAAGATTTCTGTAAGTTTCTTTCTGTTTAATGAGGTTCATCGAAAATTTAAATGATATAAAATAAACTAAATCTATGAAGTGTAATTAAAATGCTTAATAAAACTTTTACGTTTTCAATATGCGTAGCGTTCAAAATTACTGACAGTGTTTGAAATAGGTTGCAAAAAGTAGATGAAGGAAGCCCTATAATTATTATGTTATTTCATGTGTAGATAGCATGTCTACTTGAATAATTACTAGTTTTATTTGAAAAATGATTGAATTTCGATTTTCGCTTCAAAATATTTGAGTTTCATTTAAAAAAAAAATCATATCTACCATTTGCAGCAATAATTTATATACATATTTTTTTAAAGCTTTTGTACTCTATTATAATATTGAGCCAAGATTTAAAGTGGCAGTTACTATATTTACACCCGGAAGCAGACATGCATATACGTTTGTTTGTAGTCAAATAATTAAAACTGTATACTAAAGAATTATATCGCTTCACCTTCTTTTTTTTTATACAAAAGAATCAGAACTTCAACACCTTGTCTCGGAAATGAAATTTATTCGGATATATGCGCGTAGGACCTTCTTGTTTATTTGTGACGAAGAATCCATCATTAAAATTTGACTAACCGTTTAATATTGCTTCTATATTTATCGCAATCTATAGATTACCTTTAAAAATTAGTAGGCGATGACAATAAACGGTGTCGATTTTATTGTTTTGTTAAATAAATCTTTTTTATTTGTTCTCAATTGCTTTTCGTTTTAGTACAAATATGTATTATTATTACTCTCATCAGCGCATTCGCCATATCTTAAAATTTTAAATTATTTCCGCTTTCACGTTAAAACGTTGTTATTTTTGGTATTTAAGACAAAAAAAATATATTTACAGATATTGCCTAACCTATTTCTCGACTGGAATATATTTGTATTAGATACAAGGGACATTTTAATTTTTGAGATGGCTTAAGAAATAAAAAAGTAAGGTACTAAATTAAAAGTAGCAATATGTGATTTTTCTTCAGACGATTTGAGTGATTTTCAGCCCACTGATTCTCATGGGTGTGTGGAAGAAGGCAACAGATAACAGTGTCTAGAATGAATCTTGTTCTAACAGATCTATAAAAAAGATTAATGGGTTCTGCTTTAAATACGCAGATTTTCTTAAATTTTTTAAATCTTATTTAAGTACCTAACAGTTTTCTAAATTCAATATCGGAGTTATAAATCAATTGATATGTTGGCGACTTCTGGAGTTCCACAGGGATCGGTACTTGGACCTCTCTTAATTATCATATTTATAAATGAGATATTTAAAGACATTCATACACATACCCTCTTATATGCCGACGACAAGACATAAAATCATTGCCATTAAATATTTCCAAGTGTAAGGTTATGATATTTACAAGATAAAAAGTTGCTACTCAGTTTGAATATAAATAATATTATTTTAAATAGATACATGCAATTTAAAGATCTAGGTGTTATATTTGATGCAAAATTGACGTTTGTTCCTCATATAGAGTATATTATATCTTATATCTAACGCCTACAAGAATTTGGGTTTTATTGTGAGGAATCCTCGATATTTTAGGGATGATACATCGGTTATCTGGAATCCACAATATAAGGTTCACATTTCTAGTTTGGGAAAGGTTCAGAGGATGTTTGTCAAAGATCTTAGTTTTCGAGTTGATCATACTTACCCACCTGAGGTATTCTGTTGTTACAGCTGCTAAATAGATTTAACTTTAAATAGTTGGTCCTGCGTCAGGTCTACTTTTCCATACTTTTTCTGTATAAACTGTTGTATATAGACTGTTCTGACATTCTGAGTAGTATTTACTCCTGCGTTCAAAGTCGCTCAAATGTATAATTTTATTTGTCAACTCCGAGAACAAATGTTCTTAAATATTATCCAATTTACCAAATGTGTAAAATTATATAAATTATTATCAAAGCAACTTTTAAAGTGTACCGTTAGGTTAGGCGGTGTATTTTAAATTTGGAATTATAACCTAACCATTATTTTATGTTACAATCTAATTTATTTTTAATACTTTATTTATCTTTAATTGTTATTTTGTATTCATTTTCTAGTTGTGTATTTAAGCTTGTATTTTCAAAACTGTTATTTATTTATTTATTATGCTTTTTCATGTAATCCATTATTGTTTCTCCTGCCCTTTAATTGAATTTGTATCTGTCTGGGCAACTGTACTTCAAATAAATAAATCAATGTGGAATGTGGAAAGGTTTTTTATAAAAAAAAACATACATAAGTATATACACTGATGAGGTATTTCGCATTAAATAGTATGAGCCATATCAGAGTGAGAACTCTAATGAAAACTTAATTTTCTTTTTACTTTTAAAAGTTTAATAATAATAATTAAAAATAAAAAGCATTCCATTTTTTTTACATTTTACTTTCCGCGGTTTTAAAGAACGTGGGTCACCTCTCCCAGAGTTACCCTATATTAAAAAACATTTAATGCTTAGAAGCTATTTAGTATTAAATGTTTCTTATTTCTGATAACAACCGAATTGCAATGGTATTGCGGATGATTTTTTGTTTTAGTTTCATATGAGAGTCAACGGAAAACATTACCAAATTACCCCTAGTCATGACATATTTCGTTCTTGGTTTGCATTTATGCACTACTTTGTATGTAT